TTTGACACCTCCGTAACGATGCATTAAACTCGACAACGCGGTTTTTAACTTACCCTTTAAATAACGTGACGCTCTGCTCTCTATGACGCTGCTCCCCGTTAAGCGCTGTTGGAAGTGAATGAATTCAGCATTTTGACACCTCCGTAAGAATGCATTTAACTCGACAAAGCGGTCTAATAAAGGATGTATTGATCTCATGAATTAGCGAATTTTACTATACCAATATTTTTTAAATGGCTGGTAAAATTTATATGGGAATATGACACGCTGATACTTTAACAATGCATTGGCGCAAAAACGCACACCTTTTGGACAAATTTCACAACATGATTTATCAACTGCCACAAATACTGCCTAAACAAAATACAGATTTTGTTACTCATCATAAGTACTTACATTATCTGCGCAGCGGCAGACGTTCAAACTAATATCATGTAATTTACCCTCTATGATGATTGGTTGATATCAGAAGGGAGGTTAACCTCCCTTACAAGGTTTCTTTTCTCAACACTCCTCAGCGCTGAAAGTGAACACTCGATGGTGATTGGCTAATTTTTTTTACCAACGGAGGCACGAGAGCTCAGTTCTCCCCCGGCCATCCCCTCCCCTTCTCTATCATTAGCGGTTGTAATTACATCAGCAGATTCGGCACATTCGTGATAGAAAAGCGGCACTTTCATGTTACGGTATTACAACTGTGAAATTACAAAAAAAAAATAAACACATTCTGAGACATGAACATAAATAAATTGTGAATTTTATTAACATTATAAAATTCTAACTAACATCGTCCTCTTTCCATTTTCACCTCAAAATTATGGGGAAGCTGTGCCTCACCTGCCTCCCCCGACGAGCCGCCACTGAGTCCGTGTCACTCTTTATCACAACCCTGCTAAAATGTAGTGCCTGTACGTGCGCTCATTGGCACCCCTTCAGCTGGTGGCGCCCTAGGCGACCGCCTAGCTCGCCTATGCCTAGAAACGGTACTGAGCATGCATATTACTAGCATATTGGCTGTTTATTATTACTTATAAGCAGATATGAATGCCTTATTCTGCATGACCATATTCTTGATCCCTTAACCCTACCCAATACCTAAATACTTCCTACCCTCATAACAATTACAACATCTACCTTACTCACTATCAATAATCAGTAATTAGGAGTTCACTGAGGGAAAACTAATAGCGAGTAAATAGTTAATATGTGTTCCCTAATCTAAAGTGTTACCACCAGTTGTGTTTTGTGACTTAATGAGTTGAGTTAGTGATTGTTTGAGATTGTTTGTGATTGTTGTGATTGAGTTAGTGATTGTTGACTATGTCATTGTGGTTCTTTCCCTTATTAAAGACATTAAGTACACAGTCTTGTACCTTGTGCCTTTTTGTCCCATTTTCAAATATGTTTTGCTTAAAATCAAAGTTTGTAATATTGTGATTCAGCTCGTGGCTGGTTGGTTTGGTGGGAAAAAATGAATGGGAAAAAGTGGGTGAGCACTTATGCACTCTATTACGACGCAAGAATTTTTAACTGTACTTCTACAAAATGATGAATGAAGAACATGCATGGGTGTTTTTTTTTTTTTTTTAATTTTATGTTTTTATTTAATTAATGAAGGTGATGTAAACTGAACTAAACAATACTGTTGTATTGTAATTGCATGCACTATTGTATTTTGTACGTGCAACTTATTAGTATTTGAATTTTTCCCCCGTTAATTTCAACATTAATTTCATATTTTCTCACTGACCTTGAAACTCTAAACTCCTACACTTTTATCACTTTCTAAAGCCACAGTTTGAAAACAGCAAACCCTTAAATGTCTGTTAGACTTGTTATCCAAATCACCATTCGCTGCCCTCCTATGGCGAGATCATTAGAGATCAGACAAACACAAGTTCAGCTGCATTTCATTCCCAAACTGTGAACAATGCAGAAAATCAGAGTGCTTTCTTTTAATGTCACTCTGCGTTATCTTTTCCTGTCCTCTGCCCCTCCCAGTAAAGGTCAGTCTTTTGGCACATGGCCCCGAGGGTACATAAGTACTCTTTAGCATTTCATCTCCCAAACCACCAGAGCCCGAGCGCTTTTCCAGCTGTTGCCAAAACTGCTGGTAATCCTTTTAGCGTCCGGACCGCAGGGCTCTGCGCATCATGACTTTAATCAATTTACACATCAAACTGTTCAAGGGAACACTTGATGTTCAGGTACAAGACAGAAAACAACTGGAAGGTTTTAATCGCAATTATAGTTGCTGAGGAAAATGACAATTGATTTTCGCTTCAGCTGATAAAGTGACTCAATTTTCCACAGTTGACTTTTTTTCCTTTTGTTTGAAGGGAAGACATTTTGCCAGTCACATGAACGTTTTTATGGTGCATTAGAAGAGCTCTTCTGCTGTTTTTATTTAAATAAGAAATTTATATTTCTGAATTGTATACCATTTTTTGGTGCCGTACAGCCCTCTATCTGTTTTTATTTATCTACTTTTTTTATTTTTTATCCGAGTTACAAATTGATTTGTATTCATCAGGTTTAAAAGTAACCCAGCTCTGGCTCATGTCATGTAACATAAATGTTAGACCCTCAGGGTGACTGGATAATGTTTAATGGTCTGGGCTGCTAAAACAAAGGTTGGAGGTTCAATCTGAAGTAGTAAGTCCTGTTCTATCATCATCAGCTCTCGACCACAGCTTGCTCCAGGCTGACTGTCATTGCAATTGGTGTATTATAAGTCACTTTAGATTAAAAAATTTAAATGCCAAGTATCTAAGACCTATAGAAAAGTAACTAGACATGTATGGGCAACATTTAAAAAAAGGCAAGTGAAACAATGGCTTTTGTAATATATATATATATATATATATATATATTGTCTGTGTGATAGAGTTATCAATGAATTGGTGATCATCACAAAATAATTTATTTTCAGATGTTTTAAATATAACATTTTAATTATGTCGATCGGCTGACAAATCTCTTTTTTGATGAATGAATGTATGATGTAATAAACAAACAAACATTTCTGAATGTAATTGCTATTTTTCAAATGTTTTATAGACAGTAAATTAAACATTTTAATGATGCTAATTGGCTGATAAATCTCTTTTCTGAAAGATGAATGAATGAATGAATGAATCGATCAATCGATCGATCAATCTACATTTCTGAATATTAAACTGAATATTACCGGGATGGGTTTATCTGTTATGTTATTAACAATAATAAATTATATTTCTTTGGGTAATTTTGTATAGCCTTCCTTTCAAGTCTATATTGTAAGCATTTCAGTACAATTTAAACAGTTAAATTTTAACAGGAAAAAAATATGACTATAACTATAGCTATGAAATATTAAACAATTTATGAAACAACAAAAAAGTAAAAAACAAACAAACAAAAAAACCCCATCTATTTTTCTGGCCTTATTGTAATGAATGACAAACAACTAAATATACAGTATATATATATATATACATACACACAGTCTTGGTCAGAATTATCGGCACCCTTGGTAAATATGATCAAAGAAGGCTGTGAAAATAAATCTGCATTGTTAATCATTTTGATCTTTTATTTAAAAAATTCACATAAATCTAACCTTTCATTGGAGAATAAGAATTTAAAATGGGGGGATAAATGGGAAATATCATTATGACAAATATTTTTCTCAAATACACGTTGGACACAAATACTGCTACCCCTAGAAATTCTTATGAGTAAAATATATCTGAAATATATTCCCATTCATATTTACAATTTTGAGTACTCCAGGGTGATTATGAACATGAAATTATCCAGCCATGGCTTCCTGTTTAACAGAAATATAAATAGGAGGGAAAACAAAGGCCAAATTCCCTTAATCATCCATCACAATGAGAAAAACCAAAGAATATATTTCTGATGTGCAGCAAAAGATAATTGAGCTTCACTTAGAAAGTG